CCCCCCCCCCCCCCACCGCTCTGGCCGCCTCCCTGTCGCAAGGGTTTACATTTGACGTTCAGTTAGCAGGCAGTAATGGCACCCATGGAAGTCAATGCAGCACACAGCAGCAGCAGCTGCAGCACTTGTGCGTTTGCAAGTCGCAATCCTGCACACGAGGAATGCACCGCCTCAATCACCAAGCTGTCACCCTCCCCCCACCACTCCGGCACGGGGGTTTCAACAGGTGTTCAATGCGGAGGCGGTGCCACCTCAGGGGGAGTGCACGATTCTGTGCCCTAATCACGGCAACAGCCTCACGGACGCCATCTCGGTGGTGAGCCAGTGCCCCCGCATGGTCCGGCTCACGGCGAAAGACAGCCTTTCGAAGGATCCGATCTTTGGGTGAGTGGAAGGATACGATGTCTTTTGGGTGAGGGCAAGGAAGGTTACGACCTGTTTGGTGAGCGAGGGATACGATCTTTTTGTTGAGGGCAAGGGTACGATGTCTCGGGTGAGTGCACGATCTTCGGGTGAGTGCCATAGAAACGATCTTTCGGTGAGTGGAATGGTAAGATCTTTTGGGTGAGCGAAGGATACGATGTTTCGGGTGAAGGCAAGGATACCGTATTTTGAGTGAGTGCAAGGGTACGATCCGTCAGGTGAAGGATGGATACGATCTGTATGGTGATAACGGAGAGGCGGCGATTTCTCTGTTGCTGCGAGCGGAACGAAAGGCCCAACGTGTATTTGTTCGTTGCTTGTTGCTTAGTGTCGGTGTTGTTGTCGTTGCTGATGTTGTTGGTAGCATAGTCATAGTTCCTTGGGCGTATCGCTAGAGGTGGGTCCTTGCGCGTGGCCAAGGGGCATAGAGTCGGGAAGGAAAAATCGCTGAGTTATTTTTACGTGCAGCTTGTTCGTTCGCGCTTTTCATCCCGCTACAGTACAAGGCTGACGTTCTCTTCATTGGTCAGCTGGTTAGCGCGGTCGATGCTAACAATAAACACACACAGAAATGGTGTGTCTTCGTTCGTCAGCCTGCTGATGCGGTGGACGCTAGCAACAAGCACACTCTGGACGTCTTTTCATTGGTCAGCTGGTAAGTGCGGCCGATGCCAATCAATCAAAAAGATATACACGCACACCACCGGTTGCTATTGTAGCGCGGTCGATGCCAACAAAGAAAACACACGCGCTCCAACACGCAGGTGGTGGGTGAGGAACGTGGGGACCGTTCCCATCCAGCGCCGGTCGGACCACGGCAAGAACACCGACAACTCGCAGGCCATGGCCAAGCTTTACGAGGCTCTCCAGGGGGGCGACATGGTCTGCGTCTTCCCCGAGGGGGTTAGCCGCTACCAGAGCGGCCTGGCCCCTCTCCGGCCCGGCGTTGGCCGTATCATCCTCGAGGTATTATTTTTGTTTTGTCGGTGGGGGGGGCGGTGGGGGGGGGGGGGGGGGGGGGGAGGTCGCAAATAACGATACATGGATGATTGGCGTAGCAATGAATGATATTCTCCTTGAATAAATCTTGATGCAATTGACAGCCACAGANAAAAAGGGGGCCTGGGGGCTCCGTGCCATTGTGACGTTTCTGACCAATTTTATGTATGCTAGTATGCTACATTCCTGAGGTATTACTATTTTTTTATTGTCCGGGGGTTATGTGGGATGCTCCTCTCTCGCCTGCCGTCCAGCACTGAATTGTTTGTTTTTGGAGGAAAAGGGACCCTGGGGGCTCCCTGCCATCGCGACGTCTCTGACGAATACTTGTATGCTGCATTCCTGAGGCATTGGTATATTTTTTTGTCGCGGGGGGGGGGGGGGGGTTGCTCCTCACTCGCCTGCCGT